TGTACTTGGAGGTACTTACCGTGGTTGCTACTCTTCTTGCGGTTGAGCTGCGACTGGTGATGAGACGCGCGGCCGCTCGCTTTTTATAGCCGCGACGCGACGCGCGGCCGCGTGATTAGAGCGCGCGACGCGACGCGTGCCCACGTGATGCGTGCGTGGGACGCGGGACTGGTTGCATAAGCAGTACACAGCGAACGGTCCGGCGGTGCGCGCGATTCTGGCATCCAAGCTGATTGCCAGGTTTCTCAGAAAATTGAAATAGAAAAAATGCCCAAAAATTGTATAATTTAAAAATTCGCATTTGCAGACGGAGGAGGCTGGTATAAACAAACTCACCAGTGAAAGGAGCAACGCCTCCAACCACCTGGACTGTTAGTCCCCCACCGCTGCCACTCAGTGGAATGAGAATATGTAAAACATATTTATAAGTTAGACTTACTGCTGCTTCCACCCTCACTAAGCGTTCTTCTCCCCCTCCCACACCCCTTCCTGCTAAGGCTGATAGTTTAGGCCCGCGATTAGGTGTACCTGATTTGTACCTTAATGTAAAAATTAAGTGAATAAAGGATAAATAATGGTAATACCTGGCCAAAGGCTCGTTTTTCAATCAGTTTTAATCCAAAAACATTACTTTTGTAAGGAAAATCAAAAAAGTAATAATAATAATTCTTAAAACAAGTCTCAAGGCCACAAGCGTGAAATAACCCGTTTTACAGATACCATTTTGCCTCTTTGACATAATTCTAAATTTATGAAGTCTCCAGATTACTTAAAAAATGTATCGCATTTAATAGAAATTCACTTGGAGCAGTTATCAGTTCTCACCTGTGAAAGAAAAGGATACAAAATGTACATCAATAGCAAAATTGAGATCTCTTACCATAACACAAGCAACAGCCTGGGTGTCGTACTGCGGACGTCCTGCGCGACCTATCATTTGCAAAACATCTGTGATAGGCATGTCAACATAACGCTTCTGTTTCCCATCAAAATATTCTGTTCCTTTGACGATGACTAGATGAGCAGGTAGATTAACTCCCCATGCTAAAGTTGCAGTAGCTATGATGACCTATTTCATCCAAATATAATATGGTAAACAATGTAAGGTTAAGGAAGTGTTACAGAACTTTATAATATTACATGGATAGTTACCATCTTAATGACTCTGTAAACTGGCCATACGACATGATTTATACATCAAAATTCTTTCAGTTGCTCGTTTTATGTAAGAAAGCTTTGTTAAATATGGCGGCACAATACTTTCATGAATACCTTGGAGAGTGGGAAATACATTGGAAGTAAAATAAGTTGATAGATATACATGTGAAAACTTCAAGTCACAGACAATTATCCTTGATAAAGGAGTGATATCAATAGTACTTACAAATAAGCATATCTCCAATAAAGTCATTTATTTTATGTATGCTAAGGAATAGTCCAGTCAAGTTAGGAATTTGATATTTGCGGATTTGTAAAAATGGATGAATTAAAAATCGTAAAATTGGCAACAAAGCATGATACAATTAATAGGACGTTAAAATCATAAGGATATCTTTACCCCTCCTAAGTGTTTGATTTTTGATCATTGGGAAAAATGATTTAAAAAATCGACCTACTAATGATTTAAAAAAAACTACTGCGTAAATATGTGGGGCAATAACTACGAGTAAAGTGTAATCAAACTAAATTTTTTGGCATTTTTAAGCTTTATCGCCCAAAGGCCATTTCTTAGGTATTAAGGTGATTCGATGGACGCCATATTTTGTGTCAGAACGGCATGCGATATATCGCATCAATTAGTTCCATATTTTCAGCTCCTCGTCATTTTTCTCCTATTTTGAGATCGCACTTCTGTTGTCAGTAGTCTAAAGCACTCACTTACCAATTTTAACAAAGAAATTCAACGTAATAAAGGCGTGGTTTTTTCAGAGAGAAAATATCGCATTCGAGTGCAGTTTCGATATCAGTATCGAATGCGATGTTTTCTCTCTGGAAAAACCACGCCTTTATTAAGTTGAATTTCTTTATTAAAATTTGTAAAGGAGTGCTTTAGACTCCTGACAACAAAAGTGCGATCTCAAAATAGGAGAAAAATGACGAGTAGCTGAAAATATGGAACAAATTGATGCGATATATCGCATGCCGTTCTGACACAAAATATGGCGTCCATCGAATCACCTTAAAGTTTATGACTGAAAAAGGAATTTTGCATGGCATACAATGTAAGTGTACTATCAACGGATTTCGTTTCCCGCTGAGTCTTTAGTCACTGCTTGGCAACGGCGAAAAGCGATGCCTGATAATGCTCTTAAGAAAACGCACTCTGTCCTCTGTGAGCACGTAGTCACTAACACAGACGCACATGAAACACACGAACAGTAGAGTTAGCCCAGTAAACCAAGGCATACAGGGTGTATCAGACCACCCGTACCAGGCCTTTTTCTCGGTTGTTTTAGGTCGTACGAAGTCGGGGACCGCGGGGTTGAATAGGGAATTGACCCCAAGGAATCCGAATTTCGTCGTCCCGAAACCCCCCCCCCATCCCCCCTTAGGAAGTAAAGGGGGGTCACGATGCTAAAAGTCACTTTTTCCGACCGAATTGCGGATTAATCGCATCAGAATTGAAAAGCACGGAAAATTTCACGTGAAATTGACCCCTAAAAATCCATAATCGGCCCATCCAAGGCCCAAAAATGACCTCCTAAAGAGGGAGACAATACCCCCCTCCATAATTTCTCTTTGGTCTCAAAATTGACGTAGATTCTCTAGAAAAAGATGGTTTTCCAGGTAATCGACCCCGAGAAATCCAAATTTCATGGTCCCGAATTTCCTGTATCCCCCCTTGGGGAGTAAACGGGGGGCCCAATTTTAAAAATCGGGGCTCCTTGCCGAATGGCACATTGATTGCATCCTAATTGAGGAGCAGAACACATTTACATCTTGAGTGACCCCCAAGAGTTCTAATTGACCCCCCTGAACGGCAGAAAGTAACCCCCTGAGAAGGGGGGCTTCGCCATCGCCAAAAATTTCTCAAGATTCCTCTTTGGTCGCAAAATTGACGTCGATTCTCCAGAAGAAGACGGTTTTTCAGGTAATAGACCCTGAGGACTCTGAATTTCATGGTCCCTAAGCTCCGCTACCCGCCCACATGGGCAGAAACCGTCTTTTTCTGGAGAATCGACGTCAATTTTGCGACCAAAGAGGAATCTTGAGAAATTTTTGGAGATGGCGAAGCCCCCCTCCTCAGGGGGTTACTTTCTGCCGTTCAGGGGGGTCAATTAGAACTCTTGGGGGTCACTCAAGATGTAAATGTGTTCTGCTCCTCAATTTGGATGCAATCAATTTGCGATTCGGAAAGGAGCCCCTATTTTTAAAATTGCGAGTTTGAATTGTTTACTTTTACTCCCCTCCCCCTCCCCCACGATTGTTCAATTTCACAAATCTTCGGTGTTTTGGACTTAGTCCAGTAAACGAAGCATTTTGATGGCCAAAAACGAACATACGGCTGAAACTAGGCCCAATCGATTCTACATATGAAAAGGTGTTTTTAGCCAAAAGTCCCCATAAATCCCCTTATCTTGGGGAATTCCGCACAGTGGTCCGATGAAGTTGAAAATTGGACATATTTTCAAAAATTCACTGCGGGGCGAGAAATAAACTTGGAGAGCTTAATTTTATTTGAAAGTGTAGGTAATTGAGTCTACTTTTTGAATAAGCTATAGTTTTGAATCTCCAAGTAAGTTAAATGTGAGTAAAATTGGGAAAAATTGAAAATTGAGAATATTTGATCAGCATTTTCTATGTTTACGTCCATATAAAGGCCCGGATCAAAAAATACCCTTGTGCACAAGTTGTAGATCGTTATTTTAGCGTTGATTTGATATAGTACATTATATGGTTATCTTCAAAATTGGAGGAACTAGAGGGCAAAAACGAAGCGGGTCGGCGAGCGGCCTCCTGTGTTTCGAATCGCAAAATGGCGATTTTGAGTCGCGGATCACGGCAATAATGGTCTTGTCAGCTGTACCCGTCCACTGAAGACCCAAATGAATAATTTCCATCATTAAAGCTCTTTTCTAAAGCGCCATGGTTGCCGGTTTCCACTCCATTTTCTACTATTTACTAATTTGTTCTGGCGGCCATTCAAGTAGTACGTCAAGCTTGTTGAACGTCTTCTCCAACCTCCAACCCTTGTAAAGTACCTGTGCAACAACGAATCAACCCCATTTTGAATCAAGTAACTGCCCTGTTCTCCCTCCCCTCCCCCCCCCCATTTTCGGAAAATAACAGAGAGAGTTCGAAAAGTGGCAGATTTTTCTTCTATTAAAGATTATTAGTTTTTTTAGGGTGGGAGGCTCACGTATGACCTGGTTTGACTCCCCTCCTACGTCGGTAAACCCCGCAAGCCAAACTTAGACCCCCTACCCCTCCCCTATAAGTAGCTTACGTAATACTTGAACGGTCCCCTAGTGCGGCTCATGTAACAAGGAAAATTCCAATAAAAAATGCAAATTACCGAAAGTTGTAATGCTCGTTTTTGCAGTATTAATTCAGTTCATCGTACATATCAGGTTCATTTTGGAAAACGTACAGGAATCTTATGGTATCGAGGACCTTTTTTCATTAGTTGTATCGTTAATCAATTAAATGATTGATAGAATGGCGATCATCAACTCATCATGCGTTCTCGATGCTAAAAATCGTCCTCAAAAAAAGGTACGATGAAACAAGCCATAAAAAATAAGAAAGTGTTTTTGTACCTCTAACCCCTAGCAGCAGAACAAATTAGCAGCAGGAAAATTCCAATAAGAAATACAAATTACCGAAAGTTTTAATGCTCGTTTTTGTAGTATTACTTGTAGTATTTACTAGTTTTACTTTGTACCGTACTCCTTAAATTTTGGATAAAAATAAGTTTTGTGTCCTTCGCATGCCCCTAGAAATGCTGGATACACAATTGCGATTGCCATTTCCACAATTTTATAGATTTCTTTAAGTAACTTGGCTGACACGCTGATGATCTGCTTTCGGTTTTTCGGGGAACTTACTTATTCTATATCAAGAGAAATTACTAGTTTTTTAGATTTGCGGTTCTTTAGCACTATGTGTAAGCATATAGTTCAGAGGAATCGCGTGATATGGCGTAAATGTCCACAGTTTTTGCTTTTTGCCATATTTTAGACTAGTTCGATATGCATTAAAAAAATTGGGAGTTTTTAATTTCTGAATTCAAGCCAAAAGCCTGTTTCGCGCCAAAAGATGAATTTTTCAGCGAGAAAAAAAATTTTGGTCCGGGTACTAGGGCCCATTAAGGAAGGGTGAAGGGTGCCTATTGTTCCTACCCTTACAATGGATGGGTTGCCGGCCTATGGTCGCTGAACAAAAGAAGGTGTCCGGCGAGCGGTACGGTCACCCGAGTCCAAGACTGATGCGTTGCCATTTACGGATTTTAATGCCGAATAAAAAGTCTCAGTTTTCGTGAAACAGACTATAGTTCTTTCACTAACATATTCTTGAAAAATGTCCCAGTCCGTCGCTTGATTGACTAGCTTGGGTGGGGGTGTTGTAAACATCGAGTTGGCTGCTGTATGAAAATGAATTGGTATATGATCTGATGAGAGTTCATCCTCTATTGCTGTTGTATGTATATTCTGATTTGAGAATCCTTTGAAGATTCCGAAATGATTCCGAGATGATTTCAATGATATCTGACGATTTTAAGGGATCCATCGGATAATAGGTTGGGCGCTCCTGTGAGGCAAATTCTGCGTGTAATGATTTAACTGTTTAGTATGAATTTCGTCCTTTTGTGTTTACTGATTTGGAACCCAAAGCAAAGTGTTTTGCATTGAAGTCCCCTGCAGTTAAGTATCGTGGTCCTAAGCGATCAATTAGGTGTGCATAGTCAATCTCTTTAGGATAGTGTTTTGGTGGTGAGTATAGAGAAGCCATTCAATTGTTATGTCATTTCTATCGAGCTTGATTGTTACTGCAACTGACTGAAAAACTTCCGTTGCTACTTTGTCACATATATTGTGTTTTATTCTACTTCTAATTGATACACCAGCT